TAAAGCTTATAGAATATGTTTTAAATAAAATATTGTATATATAAATTATACCCCATATCATTAATAATTTTTAATTTATTTAAAAATTTGTAAATACTTTTCAATTTTCCAGGCAAATTTGCCTGGAATACAGTTTAAGGGATACAGTATACTATATTACTTATATAGTAAAACATCTTTAAATATATACTCTATAAGTGTACAGCCTATGTAATTCTCTCTAAATAATAGTATAGTTTAGCCCCAACTTATAAAGCACTATATATTATATTTTCTATAAATACATATACTTTTTAAGTATATATTTTACTTTTTTTTTACTATTACCCAAGAGGATGCACTTAGGTCTTACTATAACAACTATATATTTTATAATAATATAATCTCAAAATAGTATATATACTGCTATAAGTAGTTATTAAAAATTTTTGTATTATTTAATTATTATTTTACTGTATTTGTTATAGATATTTTATTATTACAAATAAATTTTTTGCTAACAAAATTACTATCTAAATTTATACAAATTAAAATAGTTTTTTTGTTTATAAAAATTCTAATTGTTATAATTGTATTTAAAGACTAAAATTATTTAATTATATGAAGTTTGTTAATTAATAATTAATAATTATAAAATTAGTATTAAAAATAGCAGAATATAATTTAATTAATCGGTAAAAATATTTTTTAATAATTTATTATATACAAATAATAAACTTTTTGAACTAAAAAAAATATACAATATATATAAAATAATTGATATATTTAAATAATAAAATTTTAATAAAATAATTTAATAATATTATATTTATTATAAAATATATTTGTAGTATTTATTATAAAATATATTTGTAGTATTTATTATAAAATATATTTGTAGTCGATGATCATTTAAACCAAAAATCTGACTAAATAAAAAAACAAAATTTTTGTTAGAGAGATGTAACTATGAAGCAGTTTGTCTAAAGGTTAATGTAACTGCTAGCGGAACTCCTCTATTAGTTAACATTTGGCATGCAAGCCAAGAGCATTATTATACAAGATAACTGGCAGGCGGTGCCCTTGTATGAAAAATCTTGGTGGTGTTTGGGGTCGGCTCCATCTCCATCGACAAAGCTATCTAGCTGTTACTTTAAAGAAAAACACAGGGAAAACAACAAATCTTGCATTTTTTTGAAGCTGTACTCCTTTACTTGGTTAAGTAGTACCTTTTTACCTCCTCTTGTTTTTCCTCGTCGGTCTTCTAAAATTTTCGAAAAAAGTGGGGATTTGGCTTACCCCTCTAAAAGATCAGCATTGTTTACATTCCAAATTCGGACAGACTCAGTAGAATGCAACCACGTGATGTGTTTATTTACAGATACGGCACTACCTCATGGGAGTCAGATCAGGACCCTGGTTAATGAGATATCCAAAGTTGGTCGCTTAGTCGAAAAGGAAAATATAGGTTAAGACAAAGCTTTACAATAGAGATATACAACCGTTGCATTTGTTATATAATTTTTTTAGCCTTGCACAGGTTATAATAGTGCATTTTGGTTATGTTAAGAGGTGAAATCCCTCTTGAATTGTTATCTTTTTTCTATAAAATGTTTTTATTTTTTTCCGTTTTTTTTCTTTTTTTGGGTTTTTTATTTTTATACTTCATTCATTTCCCCTATTCCTCCTTTTATATCTTCTTTTTAGTCATAGATCATTTTCTTTTTTTTATAGATTTTTTGATAAAATAATTCTAGTTTGTCTGCGAACTGGTGCAACGGGTTGCATTTAGGGCCATAAGGTAACCGAGTGAAGTTGGGCTTTGAGTTCTATAAATTAATGTATATAGCTCTTATACATATTTTAATAAAAAGCAAGCCACGGCAAAACCCATGAAAATTAAATATATATATATATATTTGTAGTGGTTTTGCACCTATAGTATTATATTGTTTTTATATATTTTTATAAGTTTTTATAAGTTTTTTATATAAAATTTTTATCACAAACCCTTTATATTATAGTTAGTATTTAGTGCTAGAATTAAAATTTAGAGGGGTTTGGAGGATATAAAGCATTTTTACTTAGAGTATTGCATATTAATTAATTAGTCAGTTTTAAGATAATGCAATATAGGTGGTAAAAACACTATAGATGTGTTTTAGTAAAAGTAATATATTATATATAATTTTATATATTTAATTTGGATTATATTTATTCCCGTGCATTATTGCACGGGTTTTCAACTAGTAATAATAATAAACTATATACTGTATTTTTAACTATAATTAATAAATAATCTGTTTATTTGTTTTTTTGGCAATTCTGCCTTTATTAATTAAGAAATATATATACTACTATTATACATAGATCTCCAACTAATTAATGCATTCAGCCCTCCCTATTCTATAGTAACAACTCACCCAGTTGTGATCTGCTGCAGCAACCTTTTTTCTTCCCTTAGGCCTTCAGCTTGCTAAAGTTACTTCTTTAGATCTATGAGCAGTGGTTGCTAGCCTTGTATTTTTTTTTGGTGCTCTAAGCGTATCGGCTAAACCGATGCTAGAGCGATCCTGCCTCTACCTCAGGCAACCCGAGCCTGAGGGAGGCGGACCATATGCACCGTGGGTTGTCAATCCCACGGGACACCCCTACCAATAGGGCGTCAGCACAAGCCATCATTGGAAAACGATGGCACCCCGCGTACCAGCCAGAGTAGATTGCTCTACAGAGCCAATTATACCCTTCCAAGAGATCTTACGAGATCTTGCCTTCGTATAGTATCTACTGCGCTTAATACAAGCGGGGGACAACATATTATCACCACCCATGACATTGGAGTGGGACACATACGTGTCAAATAATCTGTTTAGTATTTAAAAAATAATATATATATATTATATATATTATGGGAACGCTTATTTCCACCATTGACCGTAATTTGTATATAGTTTAAAAGTCATGTGAAAGAATGGCGGAAATAGTAAATTTCCATGATAGAAATAGGCGCTCCCATTATATAATACAGTATATGGGCGGCAGTTATTTCTATTGACCGCTGCCCATATATATAGTTTAAATATAAATCAGTTTTCTGATAAAATAAAAATACTATATGTATACTGTATACTGTATAGTAATAAATTTTTTTATTAATAAAAAAGTTTTTTGTTGTTGTTATTTATAATGGTTCTAATTTTTTATTTTTGTAAATAACATCAGAAAAAAATAAAGTAAATAAATATTTTTTTTTGTAAAATATAATTCACTTATACTATATATACGGTATATACAGTATATAAAAATACTATACATAATTGGTTATATTATTTTATAATACATAATAATAATAATAATAACCAACCAGCAGTGTTACAAAAAATGTATACTATATACATAACTATATAAAATCTTCATGATTTTCTCATTGCAACAAATGATTTTTTTTTTAAAAAAAATAAAAATAAAAAAAAATTACAAAAATATCATTCAGACTAATGAAAAAAAGGAGAAAAATATTTTACAAATGAACAAGACGTAGTACAGATTATTAAAAGAACGAGCCAACCCACTAACCAAAAAAAGTCTATTTTACAAATTTCTATAGCCAAACGGTTGATCATATGAAATTTTCGTGTGAATTAATTAACTCGCACACCATTTATGTATATACCATCATATTCGATCATCTGTAATACACCACCAGCAGCTTCAGTTGCCGATATTGAGTCAGGTAAATCCCAAGGATATATGTTAACGTAATCTTCCGGATCAGGATCCGGAAAGCTTGTATATGTTAATACGTCTTCATTAACATTTGACTCAGAGACAGGCCTATTACGTACTCTACGTAATAAAGCATTAGCTAAAGTTTGTTTTGTAGAATAAAAACTACCACTTCTTAGATGAGAACCTCTTTTCTTTTTAGGTTTTTGAGGGATAGTAGGAGGAGGAGAAACATAAGTGACGGAAGGAGGAGAAAGAGAAGGAATAGTAACAATTTCAGGAGGTTTATCTTTTTTAATAAATCTAAAAAGATTTCTAGGTAAAGATTTTGAACCAGCCTTAACATTCTTTTTTTGAGCCTTTGTAGTTGAAGAAGACGTTTTTTCCAATATTAGATATTAATAAAGGAGCACCACCATGTTTTTTGTTCGGTATCGGGTCGGAAGTAAATATTAATGATTGATCGATACCATTTTTTTCATTATTTTCATTACGTTCATCAGAGGAATTCTTATAATCGTTTTGAGTAATTGTTTCCCAATTTTCAGAAATTGAACAAGTATCTTGAGCTTCATTCGATGATTTTAATACATCAGAAGCATTACCAGTCCTAGCAACGTATGGTGAATTCGGAGAATTTTGTGGTGGTAACTCAGTTGAAAGTTTAGTAGGAGACGAAGAAGGTTTGTTCAAGGAATCAGATTGATTAATCAAATAATTATCATTATTTAATGTTGAAACCGATAACCTAGATTTTGTTGAAGAACTTGAAGAGGATCTGATAAATTTAGGTATTTTAGGGCTTACTTTCAAACTAAAACGTTTAGCCACATTTTGTTTAATTTCAGATACTGGTTGATTTATGCTCGTCAAGATTGGAGGAGTCATATCTTTGTCAGAAAATTGGGTATTATTATTACTCGAATTCTTCCTCGAGGCAGACGATCGTGAAAACTTTAAACCACTTGCTTTATGAACACTAGCAGGTGTAGAAACAACTATATTGTGAGAGTTATTGCTGTTACGTCGCATTTCATGGCTTGTAAATATATGCACCTACACAAAAATACCTCGAAACTTCTTGAACTAACTAATCGAGGGAAATACCAATAGAAGAAAAAGGCTTGAAAGATTATTACACAATTTAATTGTAAGCTTCTAAAAAAAATAATAATAAAATAATAATTATTACGTATATAATAATTTTAATTAAAATAATTTCACTGAGAAATAAAAACGTTAAAAGTTTTAGTAAATAGAAGTGTTTGACTAGGTTAAACACAAGGGACTTTTTAAAAAAAAAGCAATTTTTTACACTAAACCTTTTATAGTAAATAACTTTTGTATCCCGAACGGAGACTAACGGAAGAAAAAGGAGGCTAGAATTTTTTTGGGTGTAACCACGTAAATCGGTACCCATGGCGTTTTAATAATTTAATAAATGGCGTGACTTGATACCTATAAGTAAAATGTCAAAAAAACGTTGGGGTGTTACGATAAGTTTTTTTTCATTAAATTTTTTTCATTAATTTTTTGTTATATATATTTTTATTTATTTATTAAAGAAAAAACAGTGTAGGAAAAAGTTTTTTATATATCAGTATATTGAACGATTGTAAGAAAAAAACTCGTACATACGTATGATAATAAAAAAACACTAATCTAATGCTAGGGTTTGTCACGAATTAGAATGACTAGAATGCCATTCATTGAGCTTATTTAGTAGTATTTTTGGTGATGGGTGTTGAAAAAACACTATGATCATTATGGAGTGATTTTAGTGTATCCTTTTTTTTTTCTTTTTGGCGGTAATTTAAACAAAAGCACAGCCACCAACCATCATACTTCATCATATTTTTTTAAATTTTGTAATACAAGTCCGCATCGACCTGACGTTAAAAAAAGAAACACGAGGGTAAGATCCAAAATCGGATATGGAATCAATGATAGACATTGAATGAACAACAATGTGTTCTATAAACATCTATAAACTTTATAACGATAAAGTATTTATTATAAACAATAATATAGGGTTGTAGATCATCAAGCTAGCATCAAGTCATTATCAAAAGACAATCAACAAATCAGGTTAGGAGAAAACCCTGGGCGCTAGATCTGGTTCTATTCAAGAGTTGGTACGTAGATGCACCTATATAAATACGGGTTAGTTATCAGGGTATGTATGTACTGTGCGTATGTAAATACATACCGGTACATGCATACGTAATTTATAAATTTATACAAGTTTTTTATGAAATAAACAAACAATTATCTTTATATCTGCGGATATATATTTTTAATATTAACGATAAACGGTTAAGCTAAAAAAATTCGATAAAAAATTATACATTTTTTTTTTTTTTTTTTTTTTTTTTTTTTTTTTTTAATTTTTGATTCTACGAAATTTATCAGTTTTATAAAAGACGTCAGTTCTTATAACATATTTTCTTCCTTTTAAAACTTCAGAACCTTCATGATATAAAAGATGTTCAAAAACTAATACCATACCAGTTTTTGGAGCAACTTTTACTTTATTTCCTGAAGGATTTAAAAAAGAAGTCTCACCACCTTCTAATCCTTCATCATTTAAATATAATTGTAAAGTAACAAAAGTTGTTTCTGAACCATCATCTCTTTGATAAGAACCATCTTGATGTGGTTTAAAACGTTCACCAGGATCATATCTTAAAAATCTTAATCTTTCATTTAATCCAACAGCAGGAAATGAATCTTTTGTCCAAGTATTTGGAACAAATTTTGATATTCGTGACCATAAATCTGATGAAATTTTAACATCATCCCGAATGTAACGTGTGTTATTACGTACATCAGTTATTAATTGTTGATGACCCCCACCAACATTTACTAATGCTGGTTCATAACCACCCTCTTCGGAAAGTTTTATAAGAGCAGCACACTCCTCAGGAGTACATACATTATCAATAGTAAAAGCGCAAACATCTTTAGGATATGGCATATCCAAAGGAGTTAGATCTACAGGAACGGCCTCAAGCTGAATATTTAGTGGTTTAGATAGAATGTCAGACATTTTCGTAACGTAAAATTTCTTTGAACATGAGACTTGACATGAGACTTGATGGGGTTATATATTCCAATTTCGGAATTATGAAATGCACATGTATTATTCTTATGATACCTAATGATATATTCTATAACAACTATTTTGGTTAAATTACTGTGATACAATATTTTTAAATATGACCTTTTATTATTTTGAATAGGAACGTAATCTCCGGAACATTTTTTGCGCAGTAGTGAGTAGTGACCGCAGTGGTGTAATAATTCAATGTTTAATTCAGTGTATTGGTGTAGCTTATTGTAGAATGTTTTTAGTATTTGTAGTAGTATAGAGGTAGTATAATGGTAGTATAATGGTAGAATAACATATATAGTATATATATACGTAAATAGTATATACGTGAATATTATATACGTAATAGTAATATAGTAATATAGTAGTGCAATACTATAGCGGTGTAATGTAGGTAAATATTTCCGACAATGCTGCAATGTGTATGTGTTGCATACCGCTATGCTGCTACGTACGTTCGTTACGTTACGTACATACTTACGTGTACTGTACAACATTCCATATCCGATATATTCGGAAGTATTACTATATGAAACTGCCGAGTGGATTACTCGGAGGTTATTTCCCTATTTCTGGGCAATTTATGTTTCAATCATTTATTTTTCAAATATAGTTATCTCTTACTATATACGATCATTATCTTTGTTAATTGTGTAGTTCTTATTTAGCTAATCAATGAGCAGATATAAATTTGGTGAAGTGGCAATATGTGCAAGTTGATTTGATAAATTTTTACGTCATTAAAGAAAAAAAAAAAAAAAAATCATAATTTCATGTGAATATTTTAAAGAACGGTAGGTCCAAATAACGTCACTTTTAGAATAAAAAAATTCCCAACGTTTATGCACAAAAAAAAAAAATAATTTTTTTTTTATTAAACAAGTATATATTTTTTACCTCGTAACTTAAAATAAACTAGCTAATTTAAAATGTCCGTCAGAGAAAAAAATAATCGAATTATGTTGCGGTTAGGTTTTTTTTTAAAACTAAAATTGGCAAGGTATTATACTACCAAGTCAATTTAAGCTAACATATAGTAATAGTAATTACATAAAGATTGCTTATTATAACCTATTTGGTAATTGGTTAGAAAAGGTGGTATATAACTCTGACGCAAGAAAAGAAAAAAACAGAATCAATGACATAAAGAAAAAAAAAAGTATATTATAAAAGAAGGAAAAAATTTCATTATAATACAGGTGAAGATGAAAGGTATATATATATATATATATATACGTACATATATAATAGGGAAGAATTGTAAGAATATAATTGTTTGTTTTTTAAGAAAAAAGAAATAAAGAAAAAAAATAGTCCTTGACCCGCCACGTTAACCCACACGAAATTGATTAAACCCAAAAATGTAAAAATAGTTTAGAAAATCCCAACGTTTTTTTCCGATTAGCTAAACGAAATCTCAATGTCCAATCTTTTTTTAGTCAATAAATGACTTTCTAAAAGTTCACGTGATAATAAAGAGGAATAAAGAGGAATATCGAATGAATCAAATATAAAGAAATATTAGAGATAAATATAAAAATTAAATGGTAGATTAAATTTCCTCCATTATTTTCGATTACTTTAAATTACTTGAATTTTTTTTGAATTACTTCAATTACTTGAATTACTTGAAATTATTTTGAATTACTTGGCATTACATTATTGTTTCATTTTTTTCCTGTCTGGCTCATTGTTTTCTTCATCCGTCGGTATAGGACGGTTTTTTGGTAAATTACAATTAGATTCATACTTAGCCAATGGAGAAGGCTGATGTTGATAATTACGAGGAATTGGCCAAGGAAAAGCACCAGGACTGGCACTAGTAGGCGTATTACTAAAAGTAATCGGACTGGGTAATTCAGCAGTTTTGTAAAACTCTGAAAAGAACGTTGAAGGCGACGGCAAACTAGTGAATTGTGACGCCAAACCAGAAGTTGGACCTGCATCACTAGCCGGAGTAGGACGAGATGATTGCAACTTAAATTATAGAAAAAAAAGAAATTCAGTATATAATTATAATATAATAAATATAATAATATTTAATATAATAAATATAAAAATATTTAATATAATAAATATAAAAATATTTAATATAATAAATATAATAATATTAAATAATTTAGCAAAATTCCTATTATCGTATGATAAAGAACTTACTGGTTGTAGTGTTAGTGATTGCCGTGAATCAGATGGTGCCTCATCTTGATTTGGTGATGCATCAGCCTGAACAGCTTGTTGACCGGCAGGAGTACCTTGCTTTTCATTTGTTTCAGGAATATGTACACGAAGTTTCGGTTTCTTTGGAGAAGAAGCTAAAAGTGAAGGAGACAAGATGTCACCATTAATTGAAGCATCAATCTGAGACGGAGTTGGTGACATAGTCAGACTTGACGTGTTCGAATCCGGTAACTGAGGTGATGACAAGTTTGCAGGTACATTAACAGCCACGCTAGGAGCGACGCTAACAGGCACCTGAAGGGCTACATTAGTCATTGGCAGAGACATAGCGTCCATTGACTGTTGGTTAATTTGAGGATAAAATTGTTGAGTCTATATTTTCATAAAATTAAAAAAAGGGTTACATTGATTTTAAAAAAAATTGATTAAAAAAAATAATAATACACAATTTTCTTACCATAAATTGTTGATGTTGAGACTGAGCGAACATGGCATAATTATTCATAGAATAAGGACCAGGTACTTGCGCCGGTGGATAAGATTGTTGCGGAGATGGCATACCAAATCGCTATTTTATTAAAAAATTAGTTTAGTTAAATTGGTTAAATTATCGTGAATTATCTATTTTATGCGAAACAAACCTTGTGATCATTCGTATCAAATCCTGGAGAAGGATTATCATCATCATCTGTAGTGTTGGCAAACTAAAAAAAAAAAAAAAAGAAAATTATAAGTAAAAAAATAGTTACAGTATTATTACTATTGTAGATACTTACGTCGTGGTTGCCTTTACTTTCATGAGGTTCGTTATACTGTCAGGACAAAAAAGTGATTTAACGAGTTATTCTCTCTCAACAAACCTCAATAAACCTTAATAAACGCAGCATGTTACACAAAATATACCTCAGTGTATTTTAATAAAATTTTATCGATATCCGTGCTCGCGTACTGAACAAGCTTGTTGTTTGAATTGAAAATAATCAACGCGATTTCACAATCACATAAAACACTTAGTTCGTAAGCTTTCTTCATTAGTCCATACTTGCGCTTCAAAAAAGTCACCTGATACAATTAAAGTAAAATTCATTGAATTCAATGAAACGATGCATATAATTGACAATAATTATATCTACAGAGTACGTGTTACTTACTTGACGATTTCTTTCGTCTTTAATGGGTTTGATTTGAATCTTCTTGCGACCCATGATATTAAGATTTTTTGGTTTTAACTATGAAAAAAAAAAAATAAAGGAAAAAGGGGAGAAAAATGATAAGCTTAACATTATTTTTAAATTAATTAAATTATATAGGACCAACATTCGAATGTAAAGTCGAATTCAGGAATTCAAAATTCGTCAAATTATTTGTTTGTATTTTTTTAAAGCAAAGTCGTAGAGAAAAAGAAAAAAGGAGAATAGACCAAAGACAAAGACAAAAAAATTTTCATAAAAATACTTACAGTTAAAAAAAATTAAGAAAAAGATAAAAGAAGAAAAAAAAAAAAAATCGAGAGCTCGAAGCTAAAAATTTGATAGACGCGTTTGTGAAAGTTTGTTCTTTTTTTACCACAACTATAATATATAATAAAACTTGATAGGTAGGCAGACAAGAGGAAAATTTTGAAAATGGATTAAAATTCAGTTAAGAATAGTACATTGGAGATAAAAATATAAATAATATCTTTTTTTGAAATCATGCGAGTTACTGAATGAGCGGGTGACACTTACGATGAGCTCTATTTATATATAATTCACTAACACTTTATAGTATCACCTGTAATCTAAAAATATTAACAAATTAGGACCAAATTTAGGGGGTGTCTTTTTTGTACAAATTATCATAGTACAAAGTCGGAGATATATTCTTGGCTATTCCCGTCTAAGGAAACGTATTTATTGCGTATTTTTCGGGAGGGAGTCGCACAAAATCATATATAAAATTCGATCTTTGAAGAAGGGATTCTGAACATATGCGACTCATAAAGGCAATTTGATTCATTTGTAATCATGCATATGGTAGGTACATATGTATTTAAATCTGTTATAACAGTATAACGGGCTTCTACATATTCTATTGTAAAAATAAACTCTATAAAATTATAAAATCATTATTTTTTGCCTAATAAATTCGAAAACCTTGCTGATAGGAAAATTGAGTTCTCAGCCCTAACTTTAGATTTTAAAAGACAACATTTCTGCAATTGACATCATATTATTATGCAAGCATAAAAATTTTTAGTGGAATAATTCATAATTGGCATACAATTATAGCCCTGCAAATATTTCCAAATCAAAAAGGTTTGGAAAAAGGTTTGGAAAATCGTAGAGAAAAAAAAAAATAGTGCAAAAAATGTAATAAAAATACTATAAAACCTATAGAAAATAAGATGTAGCGACCTAGATCTTGAATATTGACAAGGGCTTATCTGTTTTTGTTCTTGCTATTACTTGCTAATAGAACAATCTATTTTTTTTTTTCTCAACGAATTGAGTTTTCTTTGTGTGTGACAGGAGAACAAAGAAATGAGCATAGGTATGTAACATAAGTACATAGTAAATAATTTCCCGTTTCAGATGTATTTCAGATGTATTAGTAACTTCCAATCTTGTTAGAAAAATGGCCATGAATTTACCAAGTGATACATTTTCTGAAGCCTAACTTCAAAATATGCATTTACCGACTGCGTCAACAACGTCAACAACGTCAACAATTGAAAAACGCATTGTCTTTACATTCTTTATTAATGTCTGTTTGCAGGATCTAACTGCTTTGGTCTCCAATTTAGGACTCTTCCGTTTGATTTTCGTTGTGATTAGCCCTTCAATGCACGTCCAATCAAAGTAATACCTATATAAAAAAAATTGTCATTAGCTAAAACAAATTTATTGAATCTTTCACAATAACCATTAGGTTATAAATATACATTTCTATTTTTATTCTCCAATTACACGTCGTCCTGTCAAGCACATGTAATTGTCATACTGGTTAATTATGTTTGTTATATGTTATACATGTTATACATCTTTTAAATATTTACTGTATATATCAAGATCATGCTACTTTAATGATAAATAATGATAATCGATAATCCTTATTAATACGTAATAGCAATACGTAATTTTTTCACGGGTCCTAATTCTAAGTGATGCAATGACTAACAAGTTCTAACTTTAAAGGTAAAGAATATCATTTCGTAGAGTTAAATTACTTTATGCTTTTTTTTTGTTTTAAGATTCATTTAAGACAAATTAGTACTTACAGAATGTTCGTAAAGTTGTAATATGCATTATTTACTGTTTTGTCAAAATTTTCAATTTTTTTGATGGTTTATCTTATTATTTTACATTGTGTCTTAATGTATCGCAAAAAATCTTATTTTCAAAAATTTATACTTATTTAGCTTTGTTATATATTTAATTGGAACTTTGCATTATTTCACAATTTAAAGTTTTAATAATGGTTTTATTTTAGTTTATTATATTATATTTATAGTTGTATTATTTTTAATTCTGTTTAACAGCTTTTAGATAATAAATTGTAATTTAAATTTTCTAAAAAAAGTAATAAAAAAAAATTAAGAATATTTATTTTTAAATAAACCACTATATATATAATATAATATAATATTATTGTATAATTAGATTTAAATATACTATATATATATAATTAAATTAGAAAATAAATTAAATTAAAAAATAAATTAACAATTATTATACAGTATTTAATTAAATAATCTAATTAAGCTTTTTATAATTTTATATTTAATCTATATTATATAAAAATTTTTATTTAATTTTAAAATTATATATTTTTTAATAAAAAAATTATTAATAATTACTAGTACAAGTTATAATAATTTTTAATAAGAGTATTTGTTTATTTATTATATTTAATAATATTACTAATTTGTTATTTTTATACTGTATAATTGACCATTTAAAATTTAAAATTAGATATAATATAATATAATTAAAAAAAATTTAAACCAAATATTTGTTTTGTTAATAATTTTTATAATTTAAAATTTTATATACTATATATGTAAATTATTTTTATTTATTTTATTTATTTTAGCAGAATTAAAAAAATAATTTATTTTAGTTTTTAATTTTAATACGTTTTTTTATATATTTTTATTTTTTAAAAAAAATTTTTATAAATTTTAATATAGTTAAACCTTGTTATATTCACTCTTGATAGTTACAAACTTGATATAATCACACTATTTTTAATTCAAGCTAATATAAAACGTATAAAATTTGACCTTTATACAGTTACAACTTTTTATATTCACCAGATTCTTGTAATAATCTTATGATTGAAATGGGTTCACTTGATCAGAACTTGCGATTAATTTGTTTATCATTTAAGATAGTCAAAAAAAAAAAAAACCAGATAAAACACATATAAATATCTTAGATATTAGCAAAGAAAAAAATTTTAAATTTCAATTAAAAAACTAGATAACAATTTTTTTGATATCACAGATAACGGAATACAGAATCTCAAAAATGGTCTCAGACCCAATTTTCTAAAAATTTTTTTTATTAATTAGACTTTGTGAATTTGAGCTTGGAATTTTCTGGATTTATTTTTTATTTTTTTATTAGAAACTGTCAATATTAGATATTATCGCTGTTTTTGAAATGGTTGAAATGACATTATTTTCAAAAAAAAACAATTGTTTTTGTGAATACCCGAATACTGTACCAGCCGCAGAAAAAGATCCGAACGGATCCGGTATTTTTGATGGGTATAAATTTAACATTTCACAAAGGATACCACAAGTGAAACTGCACATATAATTAATATTGAAAACATACTATCGCCAATAAGCTTCATTTTGCCTCTCACATGCTTCTATCGCCAGTAATAAGTCCTTCAAAACTGTCCATTCGGGTCCGGATCCGGACCCGGATCCGCTTTATGCAGCGAGTTTGAAAGACTACAAGTACATGTGAGAGACAAGGAGCCTGTTGCTGGTAGTGTGTATTTCATATTAGTTATATGTACAATTTTAGTTCGAGTATTCTTTGTAAAAAATGCTACTTTAATACCCATTAAAAATTCAGGATCCATTCGGATCTTTTTTGCGGAACACTAATACCAGATTAACTTAGAAGATCGATTTCCTATATCGTATATATTTTTATTTAATAAATTAGGTGAGTAATTGTTTAATATATAAATATATATATAATTACTATTTCGTAGTTGGAAATCAATGTTCTAGACTAATTCGCAAAAAATTTTCTTTTTTTGAGAATATTGCTATTTTCAACCATTTCGAAAACAGCGATAAATGACACAATTCAATTTAAACTTTCAGAATTGTCAATTAAGTATCGCCTAATTGCTGCAATATGCTGTAATAAAAAAAAAATCCACATTACTTAAAAAAAAAAAGCGAGGGACGATTCATGAGAATTCTCTTTATTAGGAGAAGAGTTCATAAGGGTATACACTTCTTCTTTTTACATCGGGGGGAGACTAAACATTTATATACATGTGCGGAAATTATTGAATGATCTAACGATCTATCATCCTCTCATGTGAATCCTAATTCTAGGTCAATATTAATAACTACATCGGGAAACCTCCAATTAACATTTCTAGAGGATAATCCGTCGTATCCGTTTATCCATTATCAAATAATCTCGGATATCCGGGTATTCGGATAATTATTCGTACAGTACGGTATAAGATCAACTTGCACGGCGTGACTTATTAACTTATTAAAATCATTTATAATTGATCGAAATTGATCGGCAATATTAAATAAAGATTCGACTTCCGATTGAATCGATTCCAATCCAGTGTTGAAAATAAATTTATTATACATGAATGTTATGTTATGCAAATAACAATACATGCATAACGAATTTCCAACACTGTTAATAACCTTCTCAAACAATTTATTATCAAAAAAAGGAAAATAAAAAGAATTTTCATATGATAAATAACCGCCTTACAGCTAATATCAAATTTATGAACGGAACTAAAAGCATCGATCTTTTTTTTAATTATTTATGAACGATTTTCATTATAGAATGACAAATAATAAAAATGATAAGGCCATTCATAGCATATATGATAATGAAAGATATAAAATACTGACAGAATATCCTTAATTCTAATTAATTTAACGCGTTTTAATTAATAATAATATAACAATGACTTTTTATGGGATCTTTTTCTTTTATATTATTTTTTGGACAGCAGTAGTCTCGCCCACTCCAATTTTGAACCGGCGGGATGGACCAAAAACAAAATTTTTTGATCTCACTATAGAAAAAGCTACCTTATCTCCAGATGGATTTACTCGTCAATTATCAACCATTAATGGGCAATATCCTGGACCAACCTTAGAAGTTAACAAAGGAGATCGTATTGTGATGAAAATTCGTAATAAATTGGGTGAACCAACAGGTAATTAATTTGCAACGAATATTTTCCTGTGTTTTATGTGTTTTTAAGCGCATATTGCAAAATTAAATATTAGCTATTCATGCGCATGGGATGCTTCAAAGAGATACTCCCTGGTACGTGATTTTTTTTTTTTACCGGAATTAATTTTTATCCAGCAGCTTACTATGATCGTACCACCAGAATAATTCGAGTTATTTTGGATAATTGTTGGTTCGGTCGTCGTAAGCCACCCGATAAAACCGTTATTATATTGGCTGCTTCACATTCAATAACTATATATTACAAAGACCATACTAATTTCAACAATCGATTATATAGGTTCGATGGAGTACCATGGATGGTGAGTTTATGGAAAAAACCGATTCGAAAAATTATATTCTTTCAATCTTGACCAATCATCGATTAACACGTACACTGTCAGGCTCAATGCGTTATACAAGACAATTCCGAATTCACCTACAATTACACTGTTCCCGTCGAAGTCGGCACTCATTGGTAGTAAGTATTTAACAGGGAATTTTCGGGTCGTAAGAGGTCGTAATCACGAGACCGCGACATTTTTATGGCACGACTAACCCACCTAAGTATTTATGAGAACTCCTATGTATTCACTGTTTATCTATAATATTTCTTTAGTCATGCGCATGAAACGTTGCAATATGTTGATGGAGCTTTTGGCCCGTTAAGTAAGTTATTTAATTATTTAATTTAAATCGACTTTTTTAATCTAATTCCTTATTTAATTTTATTAGTTGTTCACGATCCTGATGATCCGTATAAATCGGAATATGATGAGGAAATTGTTGTCATGTTGAATGATTATCATCACACCGATGCACAAACTTTATTAAAACAATTCTTAACTCCTGAAAGTCAAGGAGTAGAGGTAAATTTAATGCTTTGAATCTTAATTCGAAAATCTTAAGTTCATATTAATTCATTCTCGTTATAATATAATAGCCAGGTAAGAAAGATTGATATAAGTACAAAGGTATGACCGCGTGATGCTTATTAGAACGATTCCTACACCTACAGTTCCCGATAACGGTTTGATCAACGGAAAAAATAATTTCGATTGCTCCAAAGCCCCACAGGGTTCTAAATGTGTGGACAATGCCGGTCTTGCTAAATTTAACTTTGTTCAAAATAAAAAATATCGCCTTCGTATCATTAATACTAGGTAATCTATATCATCGTATTATGCAATTCAAAAAAAAAAGAATTAAAAATGACGAGCGTTTTATTTTTTAGCGCATTTTCGTCATTCCTCTTTTCTATTGATAAACATGAAATGGAAGTTATAGAAGCAGACGGTTCCTATACTAAACGAAATAAAATCAATCGTCTTCCCATAAATGTCGCTCAAAGATATTCTGTTATTGTTACTGCAAACCAACCTGTCGATAATTATATAATGCGTTCTGAATTTCAAAAGAAATGCATGCCAAAAGCTGCAGCTAGTCTTCCTACTGTGAAAGCTATAGTACACTATGAAGGAGCCCCCGAAAATTCTGAAGCAAAAGATAATCCATGGTCAGATTCCTTGGCAGAATGCGTTGATCTTGATCACGATACTTTACAACCATTTAAAGAAGAAAAGGTTCCCGCATCAACGAAAAAAATGGAATTCACAATTGGTTTTCATAAGAATTCAACAGGAGTTGTTAGAGCTTTCCTTAATGAATCTACTTATATACCCGATATAAATTTCCCGACTTTACATAAAATCTTTAAAAAGATACCATTGAATGATCCTAGAGCAAATGCCTTTATTTTTGATAAATCTGGAGAAGTAGTTGATATTTATTTCATCAGTAAGTATAATTAATTAACAATTGTATAATTTTATGATTTTATTAACAAATATATTTCTTTTTAGATACTGACGATGGCGAACATCCGTTTCACATTGTATGTAAAATTAATTAATAGGCATAAGTGATTTAAAAAATTAACTTTTTTTTTTTTTCTAAAAACTTAGCATGGATACAAATTTTGGGTACTTGGAACCGGAAGTGGAAATAAAGTTAATGAAGATGAATTGAATACACAAAATCCAATCGAGCGTGATACTGCAACAATACCTCCCACAGGGTAAAAAAATTTTCGCGTTTTCTCTCACTGGTGACATTATAATGGGTGACAAATAGTCCCCATTAGTGAAATGAAAAACATACTAAACAGGCGAATGTAATTTTTTAGGTGGATTGCCGTCAGATTTGTCTCCGACAATCCCGGAGTCTGGGGAATACACTGTCACATGATATGCTATCGTTTCATTCCGTTTTTGTTCATTGTTTTTTTTTGCCAAATTTACTAACATTTTTTTTTCCTTTTATTCTCTTTTTTTTTTTACGAGGTATGTAAAGATTTTTTGGTGATACGTGAAAAAATGAATACAATTCTGATTTTAAAACTTCTTTATATTTTATAGTGGCATTTGGAATCTGGTCTTTTGATGCAGTTGGTCACACTTCCAGATGAAATCTTAAAAATGCATCCTCCAGATGAATGGACCAAATTATGTGAAACAGGTGAACGCGAACGTTAGATTAACATACTTGAACAATATTTAGATTAATAATTTCGATTCAAAACAAATATTATTATAATATTCTATTATTTGTAATTATAGTGCTTATTTTAAATTTTTAAACTTATGTTAAATTTATTACCTAATTTCTAACTTTAAATTTGTATTAAATTTTATATAAATTTTTATAATTTGTTTGAAGTATTTAGTATTATAATTTAATTGTAGTGTTATATAAATAAACCCAAAATTTTTAAATTTAGCCAAATATTTAAATTTAATAACTATATATAAACTATTTAAAAAATCAAAATAAAAAAAAAACATTTTCCCAAATTAAAATCAATAAAAATAATTCCATATTAAAAATTAATCTTTCGCTGCTAAAATTGAACTAAAATTATGAACAAATAAATAACGATAACAAAATTATATTCAAATATCCGAATATCGTTAAATTTTAAATAGGAAAATGGTTAATTGATCGCATTTCTTCGAACAAAGACTATCAAATTAAGAAACTCATTACAGTCTGACTTAGGCGTACCGTTTGTTGATGATACTGTAATTCTGTAATTCTGTAATTCAATTTATCCAAACTATACTGTTATTTCCCGAATTACATTGCATTTAAATTGCGAAATATTATATGATTTGACCTAATATTTTTCCGTGTTTTTTTCCCGGCGGCAAAAATACGGAATTTTCATATGTTTAACTAAAATGAAATCTAATCCATTTCTGATTTATTCGCCATCGAAGTATGCACCTTTTTAGAAAAACCATACCAGTGTAATCTGCATTAAAAAAAAAACAATGATTATTTATAGCTTTTTTTTTTTTTTTTTAATCTTTAATGAAATTTCCATCATTGCTTTTAATAATCTTAATTCTTGAAATAGTTTTATTTACGCTTTAACATAATATTAAAAACATTTGCTTTATACTACTAAGGACATAATATGCATGTGATATATAACGTAATATATATAAGTATATATATATATCTTGATATAAGAAAGATGGTCGATAATAAACTTACTTATATTGGAAATTTATTAATATTATTACCGTTAGCACTGCATACAGTGTCCCCCAAAAATAATACCCTATAATTAAAGATCCAGGTATAGCTATATTTATTTACTATTTTTAATATTGTTTATTCCCAAATATAATATCTGATTCTTCACACAATAGCCCATACCCATAATTTTAAAATGAATTCCTGAATAAGACTCGTGGATACTGTAAGCAGTGGCCAACTGTAATAACTTACGAGTTATTTATATACTGATTTCGGCATGACTTCTTATATCAAGAGTTAATTTACCTTTTGATTTAGTGTCTCCGAAAATTTTTTCTGACACTTTTAACTTAATAGCATTGTAACCTAAGATAAAATTATGTGATTTAGTGTCTCCAAAAATTTTTTCTACTAGCATTGTAACGATCAAATGCACTTTTCCTTATTATTTAACAAGCTACTTGTGTTTGTCATTTATTTATTTTATTGTAACGTTAACGCTAATGTTTTCTCATCGGATTAAATATAGATAAAGTATCGATGTTTTAATTATCTGAACTCTTGATTTCAATATCCGCAGATATGAAAGGTCTGACTTCGTTGACATTTATCCACTATCAAAGTTTTACATTTTACTCCATTTTAGCTATTCAGTCTTTACAAGTAATTCACTCTTCTCTCGAAAACTTGAATTAATTGAATGCAGAATGAAAAGAAACATCGGTTGAGCAGGTAATTCATATGTATTTTTAAGACTTTATTACTATATAATCGGAATTGGTGGTAGGAGGATCCTTTCTGCACTATATAATTTCTGCCTAAATATATTTTTTTTTTTACAGAAAGCGCAAAAATAATTTAGGCACGCACATATTTAGATATATACTAGGACAGTAAATCAGCTAGAACTGTTCTTAAGTACTTCTAAAAAAATAAATCAAAAACATTGTTACAGTACCTTAAAAAGATTCACGCCGATTTTTAATCATATAAACCTCCGAAAGTAATTGTTAGCTAACCTTTGGATTTGGTCAATAATTCAAATCATGTAATGTTGCCCGAATTATGAAGTTTAATTCTTATGCGGTCAAATCCAAAAAATCGGCATTTCTGACCATTTTTATCGTTATAATCGGGTCGACCGGGTTACTCGAGATAAACCGGGTCGTTACCCGGTTTTTAGTTTGTTAATACGGGTCAGTTATCCGAAGAAATTTACGAGACTGTTTTTATCACCGAGTATGTCATTAAGAACCCTCAAAGTAAACTTCGAAATATACAACCAGTGTGGTTTTGAAATGAATGTCAACATGATTCGTGGATACTTACATACCTATTTTAGGTACAAATTTTTTTTACTATTATATGCCATACTTTCTTGTCATCCCAATACGACAATTTTCTTTCTTTTTTGAGTTGGTCAAGAAAATGGGCCAGGTAGGTCGAGAATAATGCTTTTGCAATTTAAGCTTAAAAAACATGACTTGATAACCTTTTTTTCATAGTTATCTGACTTGCTAAAATTTAAATTATTCATTCTTGATTTTATATTTAGCACCACAGTTATAGCGAAACACCTAAAGCATATATTTTTTATATTAAAATTTTTAAATTGATATAACTTTTTATAAAATGAACTAATGTAAAAAATTTTTTATAAAATTGATAAATTTTTAATTATCGCGTTTTTCGAAATGGTTGAAAATGGGAAAAAAAATTTTTTTTTCGAGTATACCCGTATACCGGATTACCTTAGCACCTTGATTGAAGATCGATGCTTGGTTTACTTATGGTTTCAAACAATAAGTACGTATGTATGTAATCAAACTCGATCTTAAATCAACGTGCTAAGGTAAACAGATATACAGTATACGGGTATATTCGAAAAAAAATTTTTTTCCCATTTTCAAACCATTTCGAAAAACGCGATAAACTATAAATTTTATAAAAATTTTTATTTTTTATTTAGTTTTGAAGGGTTCGTGTCACTTCGTAGAAGTTTATTTCACAGACACCTTGTTTCACAGACAATTAGTTCACAGACAAGTTTATTTTAAAGACAATTAATTTACAGATAGTTCATTTTATAGGCAGTCCACTTATAGACAGTTTATTTTATAGACAATCTTTAATAGCAAATAACTTCTGAATCAGTGTTAAAGAATGTCTACAAAATGAACTATCTATAAAATAAACTGTCTATGAAATAAACTGTCTGTAAATTGATTGTCTTTAAAATAAACTTGTCTATGAATTGATTGTTTGTAAAACAAGGCATCTGTGAAATAAACTTTTACAAAGTAGTAATATTAAATTAAAGTTATATATAATTTAAAAATTTGGCATTTAATATAAAAAAAAAAACAATAAATCAACTCTTCTTGCAAATTTCTAATACAAAAATTACTTAAAATTTGTTTAATAAAAATGCCCATTTATACAAAATTTTACCAAGTTAATCTAATTTTATGTTTTTTTTTTTTTTTTAATATTTGGGGTGTAGCTCCTGCCCCAGACTTTTATTAATACTTAAGTAAATTGACATATG